GTCGAACGCCTCGAAACGGGCTTCGAGGGCCTGCATCTCCTGCTCGGGCAGCTCGACGGCCACGATGTTGAGTGGCGCGTCGGCAGTGAACTTTTTGACGTAGTGCCTGACCGTAAAATACGCCGCCAGCGGGACGCCGATCAGCAGCACCAGGAACAGGATGACGAGCGTCAGGCAGCCCCAGAAGAAGCAGCCCCGGCCTTGACGACGGGGTTCACGGCCATCGGAAGGCGGCTGCTCGGTCGGAGGCTGTTGTTCGAAGCGGGGGTCGGTGACGGCGAAGGACATGGCTTGGTCTTCTATGGAAAGGCGAAGAGTTGCACAAAGGATAGCACAGCGACGCTTGTGTCTTAATCCAAGCGGCGCCATCCTACCCCGATGCCCGAAGCCGATTCCTATGTCCGTGACCGCCTCGCGGTCGTACGCACCAAGCTCGCCAACGAGCGGACGCTGCTGGCGTATCTGCGCACGGCGTTGATGCTCATCGCCTCGGGCGTCACCCTCTGGCGATTCCATCCCACAGGCGACCTCGACCGCGCAATCGGCTGGGGCGCCATCGCGGCGGGAATCGTCGTGCTGGCGATCGGCGCGGCAAGGTTCTACCGCACGCACGGCGCCGTCGAGCAGACCCACGCCGACTAGCGGTCGCAAATGAGTTCTAAATTTTAGAACCACGAAGGAACGAAGGAACAAAGGGTAGAGTAATACGTTGTTCCTTCGTTCCTTTGTGGTTCAACTGCTTTGCCCTGGGGCTGGGAATCGGGCGGGCTCTGTCCTAGATTCGCGCCGTGGAGACGCCTGCCCTCGCCGCCGACCGTGACGCCGCCATCGCTTGGCTGATGGGCCGCGTCAATTATGAACGGGCCGCCGTTGTGCCGCCGGCCGAGGAGGCTTTCAAGCTCGACCGCATCCGTGAACTGCTGCGGCGGCTCGGCGAGCCGCACACGGCGCTCAGGATCGTCCACGTTGCGGGGACCAAGGGCAAAGGCTCCACGTCGGCGATGATCGCCGCCGCCTGCGAAGCCGCCGGCCTGCGGACGGGCCTCTACACGTCGCCGCATCTTGAGAAGCTCGAAGAACGCTTCACTGTCGGCGGCCAACCCTGCACGGCGGCGGAGCTTGTCGCGCTCGTCGAACGGGTCCGGCCGATCGCCGAGGCGATGCAGCGCGAACCCGTTGGGGGGCCGACGTTCTTCGACCTGACGACGGCGATGGCGCTTCTGCACTTCGCCGATCGTCGGACGGACGCGGTCGTGCTCGAGGTCGGTCTCGGCGGGCGGCTCGACTCCACGAACGTCGTCACGCCCGCCCTGTCGGTCATTACGAGCATCAGCCTCGAGCACACGGCCCTACTCGGAGCGACGCGCGACAAGATCGCTTACGAGAAGGCGGGCATCCTCAAACCGGGCGTCCCCGCGGTGAGCGGCGTCGCCGACGCCGAAGCGGGCGACGTCATCGAGCAGATTTCAGCGGAGCGAGGCTGTCCCTTCTGGCGCCGTGGGCGCGACTTTGACATTGAAACCGCTGAAGACGATTGGCGATTTACCCGCCGCTGCGAGAACGGTTCGAGCGAGGTGATCGAAGGCGTCATCCCCGCCCTGCCGGGCCGGGCTCAGACAGAGAACGCCAGTGTCGCACTCGCGGCGCTGGGCGTGCTTGCCGATCAGGGCTGGGCGCTGCCGATCGATGCGCGGCGACTCGGCATCAACACCGGACGGCTACCAGCGCGGATGGAGCGCATAGCGGGCGATCCGCTCGTCATCATCGACGGAGCCCACAACGACGCGTCGGCTCGGGCGCTGGCCGAGGCGCTCGACGAACTCTGCTGCTTAGAGAGGAGTGGCGTAGCGCCGCGCGAGCG